CTGATCATCTTGACTTAATAGGATCACTCTGGGTGCTGAAGGATTCCTTTCTTCATCTAGATTTTGGCTTGACTTTTCCATATTTGTTGAGAGGTCATCAACTTAAGATTTCTAAGAATATGATTTTACATTTTTTTAAGTCAAGGACTCTAACCTTTTTTGTTGCCAAAAAAGTGAAAGTCTGACCTGCACTTCAAATTAAACTTCTATGAAAAACTCATCAGAATTTGAAAATACTGAGTGCCCCAATATATAAAACAAATGAGAGTTTCAAACAGATTAGCTTAGGTTAGAGAATACTGGTAAAGAGACTGAAGATTTTTAGAAATTTATCATCCTTACAAGAAAGAATACAAAACATTTTCAGTGTTCATAAAATGTTTCCTATGTTATTGCTTTCTCAAGTCTTAGAAAACACAGTGGGGCCCTGGCCAGTTTTCCCAGTTGGTTAGAGCATCATTTCTATACACCAAGATTGTGGGTTCGACCCCCCATCAGGGCATATACAAGAATCAACCAAAGAATGCATAGACAAGTGGACCAACAAATCAATGTTCCTTTTCTTTCTTTCTTTCTTTCTTTCTTTCTTTCTTTCTTTCTTTCTTTCTTTCTTTCTTTCTTTCTTTCTCTCTCTCTCTCTCTCTCTCTCTCTCTCTCTCTCTCTCTCCCCTTTTCTCTCTGAGTATCAATAAACAAAAAATTAAAAAAAGAAACCCCACAGTGGTGCCATTTAAAATTTGCCATTTGAATGATTTTAATAGCACTTTGTTACAATGAACTCTGCTCAGAGAGTAACTTTTCCTGGAAAGCAATGTGTTCATAATGAAAAGATTTAAAGGAAAAACATAAACTTTCCCCAAAATGAACGAGATGTTGTGAAACTTTGCTTCAGTAATATTCACAATGGTGATAGGGACCCAGCTTGGAGATGTTGTTTACCTTTGTGTAAATCCTATCCAGCAAGAGTTACCAGAGCAGTGAGCAGAAACAGATACGAGACTAAGTGGTCAATATGTCTAAGTTGTAAATTGATTCCACAATGTGAGAAGTATGTTTTAAAATATTAAATGGTTTATTTGTCTTAATACACAATAAACACTTATTGGCTTGTTAATTACTCTAGCAATTCCACTATTATCTTCTCCACATATTATTATTTCAGAGCCTTTACTGGCTCTTCACAAAGTGCAGCGGAGAAAAATTCTTCTCATATTGTACTTCTTACAGGAACAAGCTCTGCTCTAGACTATACATGGTTCTAAGCAACCGGATTAAAATAGTTATAGAATGAGTTACTGGTTCAAACAAGGATCAGAAAGGTATTTTCTAACTTTAAGAAAAAGGTTCTTGTAAAACATTCCATAGACAAATGTCCTCAAAAACTTAAATGATATACATTATGGAGATGGGTAGATGGCATTCATCATTTAAGATAGCTAATTAACAATATCATAAAAGAAATATATTTAACTTTAGAAAGTCTAATAATTTCCTCCTTCATTTTTTCTTAATTATTTTTCTCTTAACTGAATAATGAAATTAATTTCTCATTTTTGAATGCAGAGTAACTGGTTGTGGAAAGAGATGATCTGGCATTTTGATGAGTGGAGGAGGGACGCTGGTCTAGGATTACAACTTGAATTTGGATAATTCACATTTAGATATCTAGAAGTTGACTGTATTCTCATGGCATCAATGTTTTTGAGCCAAGATTATTATACTACAGCAGAGTCTTTTGCTTCAGGGTCCCCTGTCCTAGTCATTCCCCTCTCCATTCCTTCCATAGTTAAATAGACCAAACTATAGCTCTCCTAGAGGGGTGTGTGTGTGTGTGTGTATGTGTGTGTGTGTGCACGCGTGCACAATGTTAGGGTGTGTTGTGGGCAATGTTATCCAATGTTACAGCTACTCATGTGGGCATAGGAACGGGGTGGAGGTGGAAGTGGGATAAATGTTGGGGAGGCATCAGCAGTGTTCCCACAGATGGCTTTAAGACACCATGATTTATATAAATTTCTTTAGATGTTGGTCTGTAAAAAGATAAGAGGTGATGTGGTAGAAAAAAACTAGGGCAAATGTGAGAAGACCTTGGTTCCAGTTTTGCCCATTGGTATTTGCAATCCTGGCAGTATCTCTTGACCTTTTTGAGACTCAATATCTTACTATGTGAAGCGGGTGGGAGCGACAATACCTGTTTTACCTACCCTCTGGGGTTGCTATGAAGGTCAAATCAGATAATATAAGTGAAAGTACTCTGAAATTTATAAAGTATTAAACAAACGGAAGATGTTGTCTGTTGCTTTAGCACTTAGAACACTTCAGAGAGTAAACGAAATCCTACTGTGGTCATAAGGCAGATTAGGATAAAGTAATTTATAAAAGTCATCATTACTAATAAAATATTTAATCAAAATATATGCCAGCGGTACTATCTCTGTGAATTAAAAAGCACATTTTTTTTTGGCTTTGCTTCCTGTGAGGGTGCCTTTGGAAGCCTCTTTGTACAGCACTTGGAGTTTCCAGTCCCCCGATCTGCTTCTTTCAAGTCCACCCTGGACCATCTGCCTCCTGCTTCTGGGCAGCCAGATTGCCTCCTGAAATCTAATCGGCCCCATTCCTTCAGAAGCCACACTTCTTTTTCTATTAAAAGGGCTGTTCCAACGAACTGTGAGCACTCTGTCATTTTAATAACTCCCCAGCTCCTGTCGGGCCAGGCAGAAGTTCACTGTGGTGACGAAGAGGCACGCGAGCTCTCTTTCTCTGCTGATTCATGACAGTGCAGACACGGCCCATGTACAATGAAAAGTTATTTAAGGGCGAGGATTGTATATATTACCTTTTGTGTCTAACCTTCCACCAGTGCCTTACGTCGTGTAGAGACTCAGTAGACATATATTTGCTGACTGGACATGCTAAGAAGTATATCAGCTATTTAGCTTTATCAAGGGTTTTCAGCTTGGATTATTAGGTTATTTATTTAATTATATAATAAATATTTAAATCTGGGATGTAGTGAAGCTAAGTCCTGCTCTAGGTAGCACCTGCCAACTGACTAACTTCCTTGGTTTTCTCTTTATATCGCTTATTCTTATGCTCCCTTTGTGACTGGGTTAGAATGCAGAAATTGGCTTCGACAGAGGGGGAAAAAAACACACATCTAGTCCTTGCCCTGGAGTTTAAATGAATGAGAATAAGCCCAGGGATAAAATCAAAATTGAAATTTTAACCTTCTGTTATTAATATAAAAGCCTCCATACGGTTACAACATTCTTTTCTTTTTTTTTTAAATATATTTTATTGATTTTTTACAGAGAGGAAGGGAGAGAGATAGAGAGTTAGAAACATCGATGAGAGAGAAACATCGATCAGCTGCCTCCTGCACATCTCCTACTGGGGATGTGCCCGCAACCCAGGTACATGCCCTTGACCGGAATCGAACCTGGGACCCTTCAGTCCGCAGCCTGACGCTCTATCCACTGAGCCAAACCAGTTTCGGCATAACATTCTTTTCTTGCCACTAGACATCTGATAAGAGATTCTAGCAAATTGGAAGTAGAAAGCCAAGTGGAGGCACCTCTAATTCTTAATCAAACTACACCTTTTCAGGTTATTCTTATTAAAGGCGGCCGGCATTTCTGAATGTGTTCCCTTGAAAAAAACAACATGAAATTATAACAGCACTGTTATTTTCATTTCTACACATATCTTCTCATCTTTGTCCAAATGTATCGATGTTTTACATATTTGCCTTTCTCCTGTGGGTGCTATATTCAGTCCTGAGTTGCCCTGGGAGGATTGTATATGCTAGATGGGGGCTCAGAATTTCTGAATGGATCCCTGAAGCCTAATTTATGCCACTGCAGAAATTGACCAGAATGGTCTGATATTTCCTGGGCAGGTATGTCCTCAAATTTAGAAGGTTAGGGGTAGGGGCTGAAGCAGAAAGTGACTGGGGGGGCCTATAAGATATTGACCAGTGACCTCAACGGAAAGGGAATGAAGATTAGGTTTTATGAAGGAAGATGTAGGTAGGTATTCAAGTAACATTATTTCAGATGCTAGTAAGGTTTCTATTCCCACCCTACAAAAGTAAATGAGAAACAAAAGTGAAAACCTAACCAAAGTAACAACCGCCCTAGTAAAATCCCCTCCTCACTAGTTAACAAACACTTGAAGTTAGTTTGAGAGAGCCATAACACAAATGAAAATTGTATATATTAGAAGTTGACATAAATTTCACTAAAGGGTCAAGAGAAGATGGTAATCTCTTAGATAGAATGAGGAGTGCGGATCATGGTATGGCCCCTACACTCTTTTCAAAAAAGAAAGGGTGCCCAGGAAACTAACAACAAAAAGCTATAAAATAGAACACACCTCATCGATACTTAATTTTGCCGATCAGGTTCTTTCAGATTCTTTAGGTTACAGAAGAGAGGGCTGGGAGAAAGTGAACTGGCCAAATAGAAATCTTAGACCGGCAACAGGAAGAATCCCTCCTAGAACGCTCTGGAGAGGAGGGCTGACACCACCTGTCTGGCTAGCGGTTCCGAGTCCCCGGCGCTCGCTCGCGGAGGGTGCGGGGGCGTGGGGCCGCACCGCGCACAGGTGGCGGGGCGCACCAGCTGCGCCGCGCTCGCTCCGCGGGTGGGCCGCCAGGCGTCGCGCTGGGAGCCGCGGTTGCCCGGGAGACCCGACTCGGGCCAGTGGGCGGCGCGGAGGCCTGGGCGGAGCCCGGCTGCTGCGGGAGTAGCTGGGCGAGAGTTGGGGGGAGTGGCTCCTCGGCGGCGCGGGGGGGCCGGCGGGTCCTGGGG